GGGGGGGGGGGGGGGGGGGGGGGGGCGAGACTCACGGTATCGGTCAAAACAAGGTCAGAGCCGAACAGACACGTGATAGGAAAAAAGGAAATTCCTGTAGCAGACATTCTTTCCAGTCAGCCCAACCGGCTCGGAAACTTTCGATACAATTTTTAGAGAGCACCTGGGGTTTCGAAGCAGCCAGTGCTGAGAGCGTGAGCCCGTGGCCCGACACTCACAAGCGGCTAATTTTAGCATCCAAACAAACCGGCAAGCCAAACGCTTCTCCTCTGGTCCACACCCCCTCCTCACCCACCCCCTTCCTGCGAGCCCACGCTTCCTGCCGCTCACTGGCTGGCCCTGCAGCTCGTGTGGCCCACAGGGGCTGGGGACCCAGGGAACCAAAGACCCAGGCGGGCGCTCCCACGGGCAGTGCAGGCAGGGAGGGGTGGAGGGGACAGGGAGAGGCGAGGCCCCCGTGGCCTCTCCCACGGGCCGCCTCTGCAGGCGCTAGGGGGGGGATCCCTCTTCCTCTGCAGACCCAGGGGCTCCAGGCTGAGCTGGACCCCAGGGACGCCCCAGGGAGCTGTGGGCACCGCTCCGAGGTCCCCGCTTCAAATCCCAGCTCTGTCCCTTCCCCGCAACTGAACCTCAGTCTCCCCATCTATTAAATGGGGGTGGCGTTCGCTCCCGGGACAGATCGGGGGGTGGCCAGGCTGGACACGACGGGCCGACCGCCCCGCACACGGCAGCGGCACTCCTCAGCCGGGGTGAGGGTCTCCTCCGGGTCACGGGAGCCTCCAATCCACGTGGGCACGGGCTGCCCCCCGCCCCACGGGGCCCGGCTGCGCTAGAGCTTCGTGGCCGCAGATATTTTCAGCTCCCCTGGCGATGTGACCCGAGGGCAGCCGCTCAAAAGTGGCCGAGGCCAAGAAACACAGTCCAGCCACCAAAAAAGGGATCCCGAGGCTCGAGTTCCTTAAATGTTCTGAAGCCAACACGTTGTTCGTGCTAACCCCGTAAGACCTGTTCTCTCTTCTCCTGTCGACTTCCCGCACTGCGGCGGCCTGCTCCCCCCGTGGAGTTTCCCCTGAGCCCCTACCCTAGTTCTTGCCCAGGTGCCTCTCTTGTCCTCCTGCTGACACCAAAGCTCCAACTGGGAGTGACAGAGCTGTCCTCAGGGGGAGAGGGAGGGAAGGAAGCTGAGTAGGCAGTCAGGATTTCAATGGTGGAGGGGATAGGGTATCTGGCCACACGACAGCCCCTCCTTCCTTTGCACTAGAGTTAGCTTGGACAGGCTTCTGTGTCTGCCCCAGGACCTTTGCACCCACTGTGCTCACTGCTTGAATGCTCTTGCCCCATATTTTTTTCATGGCTTTTTGCCATTCCCTTCAGGCCCCTCCTCAAACGTCACCTTCTCAAAGAAGCCATACCATCTAAACAAGCTCCCCTGTGACAAATGCTGTTGTCCCTCTCACGAAGACCGGTCCTCTTTTCTGCGTTTGAGCAACAATGTATGTAGCCCCAGGGTGGGTAGAGGATATCCAGCACTAGGGCAAACGAGGCATCAGGGAATGATTACTGGGGGGTTCTGGGAGAGATGTCCCTCCACAATAAAGGAGAGCTGCTTCCTTCTTGTTCTGGGCACCAGATGTGAGGATGTGATATCTGGAGCTGTGGCAGCCATCTTGCAGTGATGAGGCGACCACCCCGGAGAGGAAAGCCAGCTGTTCTCTCAAACAGCGAGAAGGTCTGGTGATTTCTTCCTACAGGGCACTAAGCAGTTGGGGCTGAGTCCCAACCACCTCTTTGAGACGGGCCACGTGCCTGCCAGCTCGCCAAGGTCCCTATTGTCCGCCTCACTTGTTTCCATCCTTGCTGGACCCTGGGCAACTCCAGGGGCAGTGTGGTGACTTGTGGTTTAAGTGTGTCCGTTCCAGCCGCCGGTGCCCAGTTACTGGGGGGAGGGGTAAGTAAGACAGACATGTTCTCTACCATTGCGAATCTCACAGGCAGACGCCGGAGGTAATGAAGGGAGTCGCTCCGACATGGGCTGGCAAGGGCTGTGACAAAGGTGTGCACCTCAGCCCAGGTCAGGGGAGGCCATCCTCCCCTAGAGCTGGCAGTTCAGCTGCCGCCTGATGCACGAGGAGGACTTAAGCAGAGTGAAGGGAACAGCATATCACAGAAAAGGAACAGCCTGTGTGAAGCCCCAGAAGCCAGAGGAAAGGAAAGAGGGGTTGATGTGGTCGGGAGTGATACGGGTGTGGGTGGGGGGAGTCCTGGCCATCGGCGAGAGGCAAGGCGCGGTGGACCGGTGTGGCGGCTGTGGGACGGGTAGGGGTGAATGGATTCGGTAGGGAGTTAAGAATTTAATCAACAGGATGAGTGAGGCAGTGTGCGTGCGTGTGTGTGCGTGAGAGACACAGAGACAGAGAGACGTAGAGATATACAGAGACACAGGCGAGAGGGTGCTGGTGCCGCCCGGCTTTCTGGCTGAGTGACTGAGTCAGGGGTGGGTGGGGAGGGACAGGTCTGGGGGGTGAGGGGGTGAGTTAGGCTTCAGGCCTGTGCGGACTGGTATCCCCTCGAGGTCGGGAGGAGGTGGAGAGGGGCCCCCCCACACCTCCCACCTTGTGGCTAGAGCAGCTCTGGGTGTGGGGTCTCAGGACTTCAAGCTGAACCGAGGCCAGAGTGGACAGCCACACGCCAACAGGCCTGTCTGACCCAGACAGGGCCCCGGGAAGAGTCCCGGCCCAGAGGGCCAGGCCTGCTCGGGTCACGAGCCACGAAAGGCCGGCCGCGAACGGGTGCCGCCCGGGGGGGGCCTGTGGGCCGCGCAATGGAGCCAGGCGGGCCCCCGTTAAGAAGAGGGCGTCCTGCAGGGAGGCCGGGTAAATGACGCGGGACCACGGCCTAGATGCTTGTGGAGGACACGATGGGGTGGCCAGACGGGAACGCGGGACAGCTGTGAGAAACGACAGACAGAGAGGCCCGGCTATAAAGTGCAGGGCACGGTGGGTTGTGCCCTCTGTCGTACGACACGGTGGGAATGAGAATACACATGGCTTGTCTGTGCACGAAGACTCTGGAAGGGCACACGGGAGTCTAAAAAAGTGGTTTTCTGTGAGGAGGACGGGGATGGGGACAGGGCAGAGGTGAGGATTTGCACGGACACCCTTCTATGACGCACTTCCGAAGGCTGTGAACGTTTCGCCTCTCGGACGTGGGTGCAGAGTTCCAGATTAAAAGCCAAGGGGGACCGTCACATCTCACCGCGGAGCCTGGGTCCTTACAGCTGGCCTCCAGGTGGCGGTGGGGCGGGGCCGGGCAGGTGATTTACACGTGCAGCTTCTTTCAACCCAGTGAGGGCCCACAAGGTCTCAATTGTTCTTGGGGTCTCTTTTCCCCATGTCCCCAGAGCC